CGGGGCGGTGCGTGCGGGGGCGGGGGGCGGGGCGGGGGCAGGCGCGGAATGGGGAGGAAGGGAGTTAAAATAGTCCTTCACTCAAGAAATCCAGTTCCGCAGAATAGAGAGCCCAGAAATGGACCCTCAACTCTATGGTCAACTCATCTTTGACAAAGCAGGAAAGAATGTCCAATGGAACAAAGACAGTCTCTTCAACAAATGGTGTTGGGAAAATTGGATAGCCACATGCAGAAGAATGAAACTGGACCATTTCCTTACACCACACACAAAAATAGACTCCAAATGGTTGAAAGACCTCAATGTGAGACAGGAGTCCATCCAAATCCTAAAGGAGAACACAGGCAGCAACCTCTTTGACCTCAGCCAAAGCAACTTCTTCCTAGAAACATCGCCAAAGGCAAGGGAAGCAAAGGCAAAAATGAACTATTGGGACTTCATCAAGATAAAAAGCTTTTGCAAAGCAAAGGAAACAGTCCACAAAACCAAAAGACAACCGACAGAATGGGAGAAGATATTTGCAAATGACATATCAGATAAAGGGCTCGTATCCAAAATCTATAAAGAACTCATCCAACTCAACACCCAAAGAACAAAGAATCCAATCAAGAAATGGGCAGAAGACATGAACAGACATTTTTCCAAAGAAGACATCCAAATGGCCAACAGACACATGAAAAAGTGCTCAATATCGCTCAGCATCAGGGAAATCCAAATCAAAACCTCAATGAGGGCGCCTGGGTGGCTCAGTTGGTTAAGCGACCGCCTTCGGCTCGGGTCATGATCCTGGAGTCCCAGGATCGAGTCCCGCATCGGGCTCCCTGCTCAGCGGGGAGTCTGCTTCTCCCTCTGATCCTCCTGACCCTCCCCCCTCTCATGCTCTCTTTCTGTCTCTCTCTCTCTCTCAAATAAATAAATAAAATCTTAAAAAAAAAAAAAAAAACCTCAATGAGATACCACCTCACACCAGTCAGAATGGCTAAAAGTAACAAGTCAGGAAATGACAGATGTTGGCGGGGATGCGGAGAAAGGGGAACCCTCCTACACTGTTGGTGGGAATGCAAGCTGGTGCAGCCACTCTGGAAAACTGTATGGAGATTCCTCAAAAAGTTGAAACTAGAGCTGCCGTATGATCCAGCAATTGCACTACTGGGTATTTACCCCAAAGATACAAAAATAGGGATCCGAAGGGGTACGTGCACCCCGATGTTTATAGCAGCAATATCCACGATAGCCAAACTGTGGAAAGAGCCAAGATGTCCATCGACAGATGAATGGATAAAGAAGATGTGGTATATATATACATACAATGGAATATCATGCAACCATCAAAAGGAATGAGATCTTGCCATTGGCAACGACGTGGATGGAACTGGAGGGTATTATGTTGAGTGAAATAAGTCAAACAGAGAAAGACATGTATCCTATGATCTCACGGATAGGAGGAATTCTTAATCGCAGGAAACAAGCTGAGGGTTGCTGGAGTGGGGGGTGGGGTGGGAGGGATGGGGTGACTGGGTGATAGACACTGGGGAGGGTAGGTGCTCTGGCAAGCGCTGTGAATTGTGCAAGACTGTTGAATCTCAGATCTGTACCTCTGAAACAAATAATGCAATCTATGTTAAGAAAAAAAAAAAAAGAGGGCGCCTGGGTGGCTCAGTTGGTTAAGCGACTGCCTTCGGCTCAGGTCATGATCCCGGAGTCCCGGGATCGAGTCCCGCATCGGGCTCCCTGCTCGGCAGGAAGCCTGCTTCTCCCTCTCCCACTCCCCCTGCTTGTGTTCCCTCTCTCGCTGTGTCTCCCTCTGTCAAATAAATCAATAAAATCGTAAAAATATATATCTTTAAAGAAATCCAGTTCCGGGACATCCGTGCCGTCCAACACTAGTACGGGGTGGGCGGGGGAGGTGCTCTAGAAGAGTTAAATATTGATGATGATGATGATGATGATGGAGAAGAAGAAGAAGGAGGAGGAGGAGGAGGAGGAGGAGGAGGAGGAGAACTGTTCCATGCTATTAAGGGTAAAACAAAAACAAGGCGTAGAACTTCCTCTGGCTCGTAAAGGGGGAAAAAAAAAATGGTTTGGGTTTTGTTTTTTGTTTTTTCTTTCTTCCTGTTTCAACTAAGCGCATTTCAGGGCACCTGACTGGCTCCGGTCGGAGGAGGCCCACGCGACTGCGACTCTTGATCTGCAGGGGTCGTGAGTTCCAGCACCATGCTGGATGATCACTCAAAAAGCTTTCAAAAACAAACACGCAAACAACCGACACCGAGCAGCATTAACCATCAAAGATACACACCTGTGACGAATACGACGTCAGAGGAAACCACGAGCAGCAGTAGCAGAGGATAGGACACTAGAGGGCAACAGAGCCCCATCCATAGGTGCTAGGGGCACTTGAACGCTTTCTGTGTCCACTAGGGACCTCGAAAAAACTTCACTCCCCTATCCAGGGAGGAGAGGGGAGAAGCAACCTCCAGCAAGAATTCCTTTGATTATCTTAATCGCAGGAAACAAACTGAGTGTTGTTGGAGTGGGGGGTGGGGTGGGAGGGATGGGGTGACTGGGTGATGGACACTGGGGAGGGTGTGTGCTCTGGTAAGCGCTGTGAATTGTGCAAGACTGTTGAATCTCAGATCTGTACCTCTGAAACAAATAATAATGCAATCTATGTTAAGAAAAAAAAAAGAAGAAGAAGAAGAAGGAGGAGGAGGAGGAGGAGGAGGAGGAGGAGGAGGTAGCAGGAGGGGAAGAATGAAGCGGGGGGAAATCAGAGGGGTAGACGAACCATGAGAGACGATGGACTCTGAACAACAAACTGAGGGTTCTAGAGGGGAGGGGGGTGGGAGGATGGGTTAGCCTGGTGGTGGGTATTGAGGAGGGCCCATTCTGCATGGAGCAGTGGGTGTTGTGCACAAACAATGAATCATGGAACACTTCATCTAAAACTAATGATGTAATGTATGGGGATTAACATAAGAATAAAATAAAAGAAAAAAAAAAGAATTCCTTTGATTAAAGGTAACTCTTACTACATTGAACTTCACCATTTCGGGGCACCTGGGGGGTGGCTCAGTCGTTAAGCGTCCGCCTTCGGCTCAGGTGACGAGCCCAGGGCCCTGGGATCGAGCCCCACATCGGGCTCCCTGCTCCGCGGGAGGCCTGCTTCTCCCTCTCCCACTCCCCCTGCCTGTGTTCTCTCTCTCGCTGTCTCTCTCTGTCAAATAAATAAATAAAATCTTTAAAAAGTAAATAAATAAATAAATAAATAAATAAATAAATAAATAAATAAATAAATAAATAAAATAAACTTCACCATTTCAACATGGACCTTTAATGGTTTCCTTCCCAACCAAGCCTTTCTCCTTGCCTCCTCCTTACCCGCGTGAATCCCTGATCCCACTTCACAACATCCCCCCCCCCACACACACACACCAGGCTGAAAACTGTTCTCTCTAAACCATAAATCCTGAGCATCAGGAAAGTACACGAGGAAACACAGACGAGAGAGAGAGAGAGAGAGAGAGAGAGAGAGAGAGAGAGACCAAGCAAATAATGTGGCTCTGAAGGCTGGACATCGATCGAGTTGAGAGAAAGGACCAGACATCACAAACTCGAAAAGAAGGTTTTCCTTTAAAGCTGATCTCTTCCTGAGTTGGCTAAACTACGTTCTTTACTGGTACGGCCTCCACTCAAGAGTGCGACGATCAAAAGAAGGTTTCGCAGTAAACACTTCACGGGTGCATCTATTAAAAAAAAAAAAGAAAAGAAAAGAAAAAAAAGGGCGCCTGGGTGGCTCAGTTGGTTAAGCGACTGCCTTCGGCTCAGGTCATGATCCCGGAGTCCCGGGATCGAGTCCCGCATCGGGCTCCCTGCTCGGCAGGGAGTCTGCTTCTCCCTCTGACCCTTCCCCCCTCTCATGTGCTCTCTGTCTCTCTCATTCTCTCTGTCTCAAATAAATAAATAAAATCTTTAAAAAAAAAAGTTCACGGGTGCAGGCTTCACATTGGTTTTTCAAGTACACGTATTTCAGGGCACCTGGCTGGCTCGGTCGGAGGAGGCCCACGCGACCGCGACTCTTGATCGGCGGGCGTCGTGAGTTCCAGCACCGCACTGGATGGGTGTACAGATTACATACACAAGCAGACAGGCAAAAGGAATTAGAATCGCTATGGTGATTTCGAAGAAAACAAAACAAAACTCAGGAAACAAAGTCGTCCTCTCCGGGCCCGTTTCATGCTTATGTATAGAGGCGATAGAGACCCTGTGATGTTGGCAGACAAAAGAGACAGGTCGGTGGATGGAACGCCACAGATACCCAAACAGATAGGCCCAAGCCCGACAGAAGTTTGACAAATGCGCAAAGGCCATTGGAAGGAGGAAAGACGGCCCACCTCCCCACGAAATCAGAGGGCAGGCATCAGACATCCACAGACCCAACACGCAGGCAAGCAGGCAGACAAAGAAACAAGAAAGCTGGGGCGCCTGGCTGGCTCAATCCGTGAACCGTCCGCCTGCCTTCGGCTCAGGCCCTGAGCTCAGGGTCCGGGGATCCAGCCCCACATCGGGCTCCCTGCTCGGCGGAGACTCTGCTTCTCTCTCTCTCAATCTCTCTCTCTCTCTCTCTCTCTCCCTCCCTCCCCCCTCCCTCCCCCCCACCCCTCCTCTCAAATAAATAAAAGTCTTTTAAAAAGAATAATTTAAAAAAAAAAAAAAAGGAAGAAAAGAACGTCACTCACTCCCCTTCCGGCATAGGGAGGACATCTTCGGGGGGGGGCGGGGGATGGGGGGGATGCCTCTCGGGAGAAAAGGGGGAGATTCAGCGAGTCAGCGCACCCTCCTTGCACCTGTGTGTGTGGGGGGGGGGGTGGTGGTTTGTGTGTTTCCTTGCCGCTGCTCGTTTTTTACAAGTGTATATAGAGTTCAAAACAGTATGCTGGTTTCCTTTATATCTAAGTCTTATCTCGGGTTTGGGTTCTGATGGGAGGAGGGAGGGCCACCTTTTCTTCCGACATGGTGGAGAAGGAGAAGAGGGATGCAGGCCTGTGCATATTCTTTTCCGTCGTGGGGTGAGCAGAGGACTCGGATTCAGCTCTTGCTGGATGGGATCTAATTTCTCTGTAAACAATCAGGCAAGATATCAGGCGAACAGAGGGCGAGCAAAGGTTAGCAGAACATGGACAAGATTGGCTATGGGTGCTGGAGTTTCCAAAGCAAGGATTTCATCAGAGGCACGTGAATGTCAAAGATTTCCAGGGACCATGTTCATGGATGACTTGGGGTATAGGTCATTTCAAAGTTACGGTGCTACCACCCGGTCACTTGAGCATACTGTCTCCAGCTCACGGCTGCAGATGCGATATGGGGCTCCTCCAGGGATGGAATTGTGCCAGAGAAAGGGAGACAGCAGCCTGTAATTGAGCCTAAGGTGTGTCTGAGAGAGTGACTCTCTAAAGTGCCTTGAGGCAGAAGGAGACCAGCTAGATTTGTCTTTGCTAGGTATTTGTGGCAATGGGGTCGGTGTGGCTGGTGGGTGTTGTCTGTTTATTTTCTAGATTCAGAGAAAGAACTCTTCAAGTGGAAGTATTTGCACAAGGGGTCTGGCAGGATGGGAGGGTGCAGGGGTCGGTCCATTTAACAAGATAACAGGAGGATCAGGCCTTTTAAGAACTAGGCAAAGAGAGGAGTTTAGCTTTGGTCATCACAGCACCTGGCACCTCAGCAGAAACAACAGAAGGTTCCCAGGATGAATTGAGTTGCAGGAGTCAGCGTGAGCAGACCCCACCACCCTCAGCCCTTATCCCTCAGCGCCCCCCCCCCCGCCCCCCAGGCACACACACCCGGGCAGGCAGCGGCTATAGTCCACTCCGAGCTCCAGATCTGGGTCCCGCCCCCCCACCCCCACCCCCACCCCCACCCCCACAGGGCTCCCCTGTCCTCTTCTCAGCCAGAGATGTATATGGGAGGGTGGTCCCAGAACAAATCTCCCCTCATCCACGGAAACCTTGCCAACACTTCGACCACTTTGCCTGAGCTACCAACTCATCTGTACCCGTGCGTGATTTTTTCCCTATGGACCAGGGGCCTAGTTACCAACTTAGGATGGACAGCCCCCCCCCCCCCCCCAGCCTACTGTTCCAATTCGACCAGAGGACTTCAGTTGGGGGGGGATGGGGGGGCTGGGGCTGGGGCTGGGGCGGCTGATGGGACGTTCAGGGTGATCCATTCTAATGGGCCTCATTCAATCGCTTCATTCAAATGCAGAAAGCTTTCTGTTAAAGTCAGAGCCTGGAGCTTCCCTCCATTCAATGGCTTTCCTCAACTCCCCCTAACCCTTAGGCTGCAGCTTGCAAACTTCGGAGAGAGATGAGGGAGGGAGGGAGGGAGGGACGGAAGGGAGGGAGGGAGGGAGGGAGGGAGGGAGGGAGGGAGGGAGGGAAGGGAGGGAGGGAGGAGGGGAAGGGGAAAGAGGGTGTCTGAAGAGCTCACCTCATCTGGGGGCAAAAAGAGTCCCCTCCTTTTCCTAACCCACGAAACTCCAGTAAACCCTTTGGGAATCATGAATGTGGGGGATGATGTCTTACTATACTGCCTTCCAGGGATGGGTGTGCAGGTAGGAGGGTGTGGCATGGTGTGGCTGGCTGAGTCTGAGGAGGACCTTGAACACATGATGGTGGTATCTTAGCGGTCAGAGGCCAAACACAAGCATGGAGTGATAAGGGCTAAGGGCTAAGGGCTAAGGGAGGCCTGACAGGGACCGTTCTAACTCATCCACCGAGTTATGGGCCCAGCAAGCACACTCCTCTAAATCAACATTAACAGTTTATTGATTGTTGGGGCACCTGGGTGGCTCAGTCATTAAGCATGTGCCTTCGGCTCAGGTCATGATCCCAGGGTCCTGGGATCGAGCTCCGCATCGGGCTCCCTGCTCCGCGGGAAGCCCGCTTCTCCCTCTCCCACTCCCCCTGCTTGTGTTCCCTCTCTCGCTGTGTCTCTCTCTGTCAAATAAATAAATAAATACAATCTTAAAAAAAAAAAAAAAAAACAGTTTATTGATTATCCATCGACCTGTCCTCCCTCTCCCACCTGCTTCCCAAGGGAAATCCTCGGTCTCATTCCACGTAGTCACTGGCTGTTTTCGCACACCACCTTCCTGTCCAGTAAGAGGAGGAAGGAAGATGGACAAACAGGAACCAGCCCCACAGATGGCACCTCTGCACAGAGGGGTGAGTGTGAGTCTCATTGGGCCAACTGTGACTCTGAGCCATGATCCCAGGGTTGTTTAAAATATGGAACAGAAGGAGCACCTGGGTGGCTCAGTCAGAACAGCACATGACTCTTGATCTCAGTCAGGGTCCTGAGTTCAAGCCCTACACTGGGACTACAGATGATGAAAAATGAATGAATGAATGAATGAATGAATGAATGAATGAATGAATGAATTTTTAAAAATAAAGTATGTAATGTTTATCTCTTTAAAAAAAAAAAATGGAATGGAGGGGCGCCTGGGTGGCTGCCGGTTGAGCATCTGCCTTCAGCTCAGGTCATAATCTCAGGGTGCTGGGATCGAGCCCCACCCCTCTGGGGCTCCCTGCTCAATGGGGAGTCTTCTCCCTCTCCCTCTGCCCCTCCACCCACCCATGCGTGCAAGCTCTCTGTCTCTCTGTCTCTCTGTCTCTCTGTCTCTCTGTCTCTCTCTCTCTCTGTGTGTTTCTCTCTCTGTCTCTGTCTCTCTCTGTGTGTCTCTCTCTCTGAAATAAATAAATAAAAACAAACAATCAAACTTCAAAAAGGAAAAGGGCAGGGACATTTATGATTATTCATGGCGAAAGTTGGAGCACGTATATTCAGGAAACATATGTACCATAGATTCCCATGTTTACTTCGGGGTGGAGACCTGACATCTGAATGAGGCAAAACTGAGTCCCTGATGTCAGGAGGTTATCTGAGGACAAGGAGAAGAGGCTGTGGGCATGCTCTGAGAGCTGGTACAACCTGGATGGGGTCTTAGGCTCCTTTTCTCAGGTAAGGAATCAGGACCTCGCTTCTTCATAGGCTGCAGCCATTATCAGTTGACCTTGAGTCCAGACTTCTGCAGAGACAGCCAGTATTTGGTAGCAGGGCCTGAAAAGACACAATAGCTGACTAGGGGGAAACAGTTCCCTGAAAAACCAGCTTTAAGCTTTCTGCTAGCATCAACCTCATTAACCTTATGGGGCACGGTTTCAATCCCCACCCCCACCCCCACCCCCACCCCCACCAAGTGAGGATCATTCCTCAGTCTTAGGGAATTGGGATGATGATGGCTGTGGCTATTCTTTCATCTCCTCAGGGGAGGTAGGTTTTGGGTAAACGACAGTTTCTGTAAATCTTAGCTGTAACATGGCTATGTTCAGGGCTAAACAGAAGTTTTTAACCTACAGGTTAAAAGGGAATAAAAATAACAGGGAGTCAGACATGCTACATTTTTCCCTGTTAAAATTTCCCCTTGTCCATCCTGCATTCCATTTCTATGACACATGGGCAGAGGTCTGCCTTCTTTATTTAACTGCTTCAAGCTGAATTAGGGTGCAGTAGAGGCTTTGGAATGGAAGGATCTGAGACACTGCAGGTCGCAATTTTTGGTCCCTTGTGCTAATGGAGGGGGTCTCAGAGATAGTTCCTTATCTGAGAACTTGGTTATTTTTCTACATGGTTTGGGACTACATGACACCATTGATTTTATCCCCAAGTGTAGTCTAAGGAATAGTAACAGTAGAGTCAAACCCAATTCTCTCATTCTCTCTCAAATTGATCTGATATCGGTGGGTATCCAAGAATACAGATCAGTAAATTAGTCTGAGCCCCTCCCCTGGGGGGGGGGCGGTAGGTTGTGGTGGTGAAGGGCTTCTGGTAGCCAAGTAGCTTAGTGTTTGATTTTATTTACATGGGTTCTTTTTTATTTTTTTTTTTCTTTAAAGATTTCTATTAAGTAATCTCTACACTCAATGTGGGGCTCGAACTCACAACCCCGAGATCTAGAGTCGTATGTTCTACCAGCTGAGCCAGCCAGGTGCCCCTATTTATATGGGTTCTTATTTTCCAAAGAGGAGTTAATACAGGTGCAGCAAGGTGGAATTAAGGATCATAGACTCTGCCTCATTCAGCAAGTGATCTTGTAGTTAATAAGAGGCATTTCTATGGAAACAAAAGGAAAACATGGTTAATGGTTGGAACAAGGGATACACCTGGTGTCTAAGTCCAGAGGGCTGCCAGTGAGAAGGTCTCTAGATGTCAGGCTTGAAGCATCCTCCAATAGAGTGGGAGTGGGCAGGGGCAATCTGACTAATTTTTCTGGCGTATAGTTCAAATGTCTCATTTTGAGTGACTCATAGAGCAACAGGCACAAAGATTGTCTATATATGAGTTATTGTGGTCATTTCCCTGAAATTTATTTCAAGTTGTCCAGCTTTCATTTGCCAGACTTCAGGAAAAAGGACAGTTTTAGTTCTTAATGATTGTAAGATAAGAGAATGGGAGAATGTTCTGAAACAAATAATGCAATATATGTTAAGGGGAAAAAAAGAAGAAGAAGAAGAAGGAGGAGGAGGAGGAGGAGGAGGAGGAGAAAAGGAGGAGGAGAAAAGAAGAAGGAGAAGAAAAGAAGAAGACGAAAAGAAGAAGAAAAGAAGAAGGAGAAGAAAAGAAGAAGAAGAAAAGAAGAAGAAGAAGAAGAAGAAGAAGAAGGAGAGAAGAAGAAGAAGAAGAAAAGAAGAAGAAGAAGAAGAAGAAGAAGGAGAGAAGAAGAAGAAGAAGGAGAGAAGAAGAAGAAGAAGAAGAAGAAGAAGAAGAAGAAGAAGAAGGAGAGAAGAAGAAGAAGAAGAAGAAGAAGAAGAAGAAGAAGAAGAAGAAGAAGAAGAAGGAGAAGGAGAGAAGGAGAAGAAGAAGAAGAAGAAGAAGAAGAAGAAGAAGAAGAAGAAGAAGAAGGAGAAGAAGAAGAAGAAGGAGAAAAGAAGAAGAAGAAGAAGAAGAGGAGGAGGAGGAGGAAGAAGGAGGAGGAGGAGGAGGAGGTAGCGGGAGGGGACGAATGAAGCGGGGGGAAATCGGAGGGGCGGACGAACCATGAGAGACGATGGACTCTGAACAACAAACTGAGGGTTCTAGAGGGGAGGGGGGTGGGAGGATGGGTTAGCCTGGTGGTGGGTATTGAGGAGGGCCCATTCTGCATGGAGCACTGGGTGTTATGCACAAACAATGAATCATGGAATACTTCATCTAAAACTAATGATGTAATGTATGGGGATTAACCTAAGAATAAAAAAATAAATTAATTAAAAAAAAGAGAGAGAATGGGAGAATGTTGGAAACCTTAGTTTGAAGAGTCACAGTCAGATACTCAAGGAAACCAGAAGGATCCAGGATCCAGTCCAGTTTTATAGGCAAACAATAAACGTTCAAAGATAATTAATCTAACACTCACAAAAGTGTGTTATTGAAATGTAATCTTTCTCTCTAAAGTCACCTTCATTCCTGTCAAAGATAGCCAAAAGAAGATTAATTTGTTTGTAAAACAAGTCCAGTTTTAACAAACTTGGCCCAATCATCTACGTAGGGACAGCAAGAATAGCAATTGACCATATATGGGGTCTTTCTTCTCTTTTCTTTTTCCTTTCCTTCTTTTAAATCTGCTTTGATGGAGCTTTTTACAAGGAATTTTAGATTGATCCTTTAACTGCCTTTTTAAAGCCGAGAACCAAGCCAAATATTGGCCATCAGATTCGCCTGCAAGACTTGTAGATTTGCGGAGGGGTAGACGAACCAGGAGAGACGATGGACTCTGAACAACAAACTGAGGGTTCTAGAGGGGAGGGGGGTGGGAGGATGGGTTAGCCTGGTGGTGGGTATTGAGGAGGGCGCATTCTGCATGGAGCACTGGGTGTTGTGCACAAACAATGAATCATGGAACACTACATCTAAAACTAATGATGTGATGTACGGGGATTAACATAAGAATAAAAAAAATTACAAAAAAAAAAAAGACTTGTAGATTTGGGTGAATTCCTCTCTTCTTTGAGGGCCTCCAAATTTCCTGAAGTTCCTGCATCTGCCAGGAGGTGGTACTCTTCACTCACCTGGTAAGGTTGAGGGGACCTCTCTAAGCAAGGTTATCAGGCCAACATTTCTAAGGGGCTTTACTGGCTCCATAAAGTCAATCTGACTTTCTTAAAGCAGTCTCACCATATCTGAGTCTACGCATGTGTCTCTTCGAGATGACAGTCCAGGGGCACCTGGCTGGCTCAGTCGGTAGAGAGCACGACTCTTGATCTCAGGGTTGTGAGTTCGAGCCCCACGTTCAGTGTAGAGATTATTTAAAAAATAAAATCTCGGAGGAGCGCCTGGGTGGCTCAGTCGTCAAGCGTCTGTCGGCCTTCGGCTCAGGTCATGATCCCAGGGTCTTGGGATCGAGCCCCACATCGGGCTCTCTGCTTGGCCGGGAGCCTGCTTCTCCCTCTCCCGCTCCCCCTGCTTGTGTTCCCTCTCTCGCTGTGTCTCTCTCTGTCAAATAAATAAATACAATCTTAAGAAAGAAAAAAAGAGTACACTAACAATCCAAGAAAACCTTGTCATTTTAACATAGAAAACCCAAATCTCAATCTTATACCAGTGTGCTTTTCTTCTTCTTTTTTTTATTCTTATGTTAATCCCCTACATTACATCATTAGTTTTAGATGTGGTGTTCCATGATTCATTGTTTGTGCACAACACCCAGTGCTCCATGCAGAATGGGCCCTCCTCAATACCCACCACCAGGCTAACCCATCCTCCCACCCCCCTCCCCTCTAGAACCCTCAGTTTGTTGTTCAGAGTCCATCGTCTCTCATGGTTCGTCCGCCCCTCCGATTTCCCCCGCTTCATTCGTCCCCTCCCGCTACCTTCTTCTATTTTTTTTTTCTTCTTCACATAGATTGCGTTATTTGTTTCAGAGGTACAGATCTGAGATTCAACAGTCTTGCACAATTCACAGCGCTTGCCAGAGCACCTACCCTCCCCAGTGTCTATCAGCCAGTCACCCCATCCCTCCCACCCCACCCCCCACTCCAGCAACCCTCAGCTTGTTTCCTGCGATTAAGAATTCCTCCTATCCGTGAGATCATAGGATACATGTCTTTCTCTGTTTGACTTATTTCGCTCAACATAATACCCTCCAGTTCCACCAGTGTGCTTTTCAAACTGCCTTCTCCCAAGCTCAGTCAGTCCTGACCATGCATAAAATTCCTTTTCAAAAATTCTCCTTCACAAACCCCTTCCACAATTTCCTTTTTCATTCAGACTCGGTCTTAAAGTTTTCTTTCTTTAAGTACCCAGTCCCGTTTCAGTACACCATTACTTCCTTTTCCCTCAACAAAAAAAATGTTTTCTCATTTCTTGTACCTCTTTTACACGTCTCCTACCTTCCCACACACGGAGTTGTTTTTGTTATCATTTTGTAGCAGTCCCAATTCCATGTGGCAGAATTTTAATTCTTAGAAATCTCAGTCTCTGGTGAAACGTTAGTAGTAACCAATGGCGCACTCTCTATTACACCAGAATTCTTTAGATTGGCAAATGTATGAATATATTTCATAAATTTTATTTATTTGACAGAGAGAGACACAGCGAGAGAGGGAACACAAGCAGGGGAAGGGACAGAGGGAAAAGAAGGTTCCCCAATGAACAGGGAGCCCAATGCGGGGCTCGATCCCAGGACCCTGGGATCATGACCTGAGCCGAAGGCAGACGCTGAACGACTGAGCCACCCAGGCACCCAAACGTGGTTGGTTGGTTGGTTGGTTTTTATAAAGGTGATGGAGAGGTATATTTTGATAACCACAAATACAGGCTCACTGTTGTGACGGGAGCGTGGCACATTCCACTGCCCACCCAACGGCTTGTAACGCAGGGAGAACCGAATCCAAGTGCTTTTATGACAAAGAAAAGAAAGAAAAGGAAAGAAAGAAAGAAAGAAAGAAAGAAAGAAAGAAAGAAAGAAAGAAAGAAAGAAAAAGGGAAAGAAAGAAAGAAAGAAAGAAAGAAAGAAAGAAAGAAAGAAAGAAAGAAAGAAACGCAAAGTTGATTATTTGTATTATGTGTGACATTGATAGCTCCAAAACCACGTCTTTTTAAAATAAACCAACAACCTTGAATTGGCTTTAACGCCAAAGAAGTTGCACCTGCGTCCACTAAAAAGTCAATCGATTGTTTTCCCCCATCAGACTCCTTGGGGAAAGTCTGAAGCGGGCGGTCTAAGATCAGCGGAGCCCTCGGGCCCCTTCCTGCTAGTTTGGGAGGTGCTCCAATTTAAACCTCATAAGGAGGTGGCCCAAGGGCTTGGGCCCAAGGGCAAGGGCTTTTGCTCCTTGATAAGGGGGTGGGGAGGAGGAGGAGGAGGAGGAGGAGAAAGGGGAGCCCATGGCACCCGGGGGGGGGGGGGCGGGGGGGCGGGGGTAGGGAAGGGCGGCTGAGACGGCGGCAGGGGAGTAGAGCACTCCAGGCACACACACCAGTGGTGCAGAAACGGGGCAGGGGAGGCGGCAAGGGAGCCATTGGTAAGGCCCAGGGCACATATACATTTACAGTTTTGGACGAACCTTTTCTTTTTTTTCTTCTCCGCCTCCGCCTCCGCCTCCGCCTCCGCCTCCGCCTCCGCCTCCGCCTCCGCCTCCGCCTCCGCCTCCGCCTCCGCCTCCGCCTCCGCCTCCGCCTCCGCCTCCGCCTCCGCCCCTTTCTTCATCTCCTTCTGCTTAATAGGCTTTGTCTGTGGTGGCTTTTCAGCCCTCCGGAAGCCAGTGGGTTGGGCATCGGTTCTGGTGCCTGTACTTGGGGAGGAGGAGGAGTGGATTTCAGATTTCTAGCATCGGCCTGTCTTCCTCCTCTTCTTCATTATTTTGACTGTTGGGAAGTGGGGGTAAGGTCAGGTGTGTTAAATTTTTGTCTATCTCTGGGCCGTCCCTTGGGTCCCTTACCTTGAGGCATCTTTATTGTGGAGTGACATAAGAGTCTGAATGTAGGGAATTTCATCCCAGATCATGTGAGCTTGAAAAACTGGGTTTATTCTTATCTGAGTTTTACCATGCCCGATTTTTACGAGCACCTGCCTCTAAACTCTTTAAGTAGGGGCACCTGTGTGGCTCAGGCAGTTAAGTGTCTGCCTTGCGTTCACATCATGATCCTGGGGTCCTGGGATGGAGCCCCACATCCGGCTCCCTGCTCCGCGGGGAGTCTGCTTCTCCCTCTCCCAATGCCCCCCCACCCCCAGCTCGTGTGCTCTCTCACTCGCTTTCTTTCAAAGACATAAATAGAATCTTTAATAAAAATAAAACTCGGGGCACCTGGATGGCTCAGTGGTTAAGCGTCTGCCTTTAGCTCAGGTCATGATCCGAGGGTCCTGGGATCAAGCCCCTGCATCGGGCTCCCTGCTCGGCGGGAAGCCTGCTTCTCCCTCTCCCACTCCGCCTGCTTGTGTTCCCTCTCTCGCTGTGTCTCTCTCTGTCAAATAAATAAATAAAATCTTTAAAGAATAAAATAAATAAAATAAAATAAAATAAAATAAAAATAGAACTCATTAAATAGAGCTCCTTTACAAATGGATGTTAGCAATAGCACCCGGAGGTGGAGGAAATACCTCACATGTATAACACATACGGACACATAGACACAAACAAGATGCAAACAAATTTTAGCCTTTGTTTCAGTCTTATTTGTGGAGAGGACATGAATGGAGAGGACACGAAAGACCCAATGTTCAAATCTCCCTCTTTTAGTAAAACAAATGCAACTGCGAAGCAGCATTACCGTGTACAGATCCCACCCGTCAGTTGTTTTCCATTCCCAATGGAAACAGGGTCGGTTTTATGCAAAGATAGCAAAAGCTGCAGCAACCAACCAACCAACCAACCAACCAACCAACCAACCAAATGAAGACCAGAGCATCTCCCTGAGTGTTGGTTCCTCCCCAAAAGTCGGGGCTTCACTGAGGGAACCAAAGAGCTTCCTAGTTTCTGATCACCCAGTCTCCTAGCAGGCTTTCTCTAATTGTGTACACAATTCAGACATGTCAAAAGAACCCCGCTTGGGCCATCTGAGACTCATGTTATCGTGAAATGTTTCCCATGCAAGTAAGCACTTGCAAGTATAGGCTCCCTATGCATTGTACATGTAGCGTGCAGGTGTTTCTTGTGAGGGTGGGCCGTTGTTTCCTCAACATTTGGTGCAGGGTTCTACAGAGTTTTGGTTTGTTTCGTTGGTTTGGTTTTCTGCACACGTGTGTGTGGGGGGGGGGTGTGGTGTGGTGTGTTGTGTGGTGTGTATCTGTGTGCACGGTATCTATCGCTGCTGCGCAGCTAGCTGATCCTCAGGGTGCATCATCCTAACACCGCAATGGCTCGAAACAGCATTTCTTTATCGATAACTTCCTGGTGCTTGCCCTGGGTGGCCCCTTGGGTTCTGCGGGTTTACGCCGGGCTCACTCAAGCAGTGGCTTTCGGCCAGAGGGTCAACTTTCACACGTCTGGCAGTCGGTGCCGCCGAGCACCGGGCTGCCTCTGTTGTCAATGCCTCTCATGCTCCAGTCAGCTAGACTGGCTTTCTTACGTGGAGGTCTCAGGACGGCATGCCAAGAAGGTCGAGAACGCCGGCAGACCACCTCTTCAGGTGTAGGCTGTGAAACCAGCCAAGTGTCACTTCTGCTCTATTCTTTGGGTCAAGACAAGTCCCAAGACCCGGTCCAAAATCAAGGGACAGAGCAATCAAGCCTACCTCTGGATAGCAGGAGCATCGAAGTCATAGGACGTGAGGGTGCACACGTGCCGGGACGTGAGGGACACACGGTTGTCGGTCTGCCACAAGGGATTCCTAAACCCTATGCCGCGATGCACATTTTTGCAAAAGTAAGCTTTACGTTTTAGCATCTAAAACATGATTTCCTTTGAATCAACCCCTAGAATTGGATTCACCAGGAAGAAGGGGAAGATGCGTTTTCCAGCCTCTTGATACAGAAGCTCTTGATTTCCAGAGGGCACTTGGAGGACCCTTCACCAGTCTCTGCTTTGTAAGGCGGGGGGAATTTTTTTTTTTTAAGATTTTATTTATTTATTTATTTGTTTGTTTGTTTGTTTGTTTATTTATTTGAGACAGAGAGAGAGAGAGAGAGAGAGAGAGAGAGAGAATGAATGAGAGAGAGCACATGAGAGGGGGGAGGGTCAGAGGGAGAAGCAGACTCCCTGCTGAGCAGGGAGCCCGATGCGGGACTCGATCCAGGGACTCCAGGATCATGACCGGAGCCGAAGGCAGCCGCTTAACCAACTGAGCCACCCAGGCGCCCAAGGCGGGGGAAATTTAATTGGCCAACCCCCCATGAAAAAGCGACCGATCACGTTCCGACGTCCGAATTAAAGGCAGGCTTCCTTTTTAAAGGCATCCATAGAGCAGCCAGCTCCGTGGCAAGGAGCCGGACTTCTGTGTGTCTGATGAGGAATCCCATTCTCGGCATAAAGGCAATCTCGGGGAGCAGTCGGAGGCAGACCAGATCTCAGATCCACCAAACCCAAGAAATCCCTTGTGATCTGAATGGCTGAATTTGTTGAGGTTTCCCTCCCGATGGCTAAGAAGATGCCTTCCTATCACAGATGACAAAACACAAACCAACAAAACCCCGATAGCTGGGCAGGGTCTTCAAGAAAGGGCCCCTTTTTCATGGAAGCCAACTCTTCCATCTCGCGCCACCCGCCATCATGGAGAGGAAGTCTCTCGGGATGAACGAATGCCTTTGCAATCTACGTTAACCGACTCTCTTTTCCGATAGGCTGACACTCTTTCCCCTCGTGGACACGTCCCGAGATCGGCAGGCTTCGGTGCATCGGTCTTCTGTGCACCAAAAGCCGTGCGAAGGCCCCTGTCGTCGAAATGTATTCGGCATGGACGCTAGTGAAGAATTTTAAACCAGTCTAGCCCGGTTCAGTCCTTCAGTCCTTTTTTTTCTCATTTCTTACATGACCGCTGTGTCCTAAAAGGATACAACTGAGGAAACTCCAGATGGAACAGAGGCAAAGGGAAGGGGGGCAGAGCTTCCGTGTTCCGTGACCCCTCTCCAGGAACGCCTCTGTCCCCACCATTTCAGGCGTTCAAGCAACCTGGAAGCTCCCCGAATTAGGTTAGTTCTTCTTCGAAGGGGCGGGGGTCGGGGTGGGGAAGGTTGGGGAGCGCCGAGGTTTGGAAACATTGCAGGGCAATCAAGGCTATTGCCAAATCTCGAGTCCGTGCAGAGGTACGTAAGGTACACGTAAGGCCGGGATGGGGGGCGTGGCGTGGCGTGGCGTGGCGGGGCGGGGCTTGGCGGGGCGGGGGTGGGTGGGTGCGCGCGCCTGGCGGGGAGGGTTGCGGTGTGTGTCCATGTGCGTTCAGCAGGTGTAGGGGAGGAAGAATGTTCCCTCTAACTTCCCTTTCTACTCCCTGTTGGGGGAGAACAGTGAAGAGAGCCCGGGTGAGGGCGAGGGCGACGGTGACGGCGAGGGCGACGGTGACGGCGGGTGGGGGCGAGGCGCGGACAGGAAGGGGGGAGGGGTAGTAGAGGTGTTTATTTCTTTTGGCGGTGATGGAAATGTTCTGGAAATTGCAGTGAAGGTTGTGCAGCTTTGTGAGCCACCTTAAAAAAAAAGAAAAAAAGGCCACCCAATGGCCCACTTTTAAGAGTATGCGAAATATGGCATGCGAATTGTATCTCCACTTCGAAAATCTGTGACGAAACAATGTGATGGACATAGGGAAGGAGGGAGGGACGGACG